CAAGTAGTTGTGCTTCCACCTGCTGCCTCCCAGGGTATATGTTAGCAGGCAACTGGAATTGGAAGCAGAGCCAGGGCTCAAATCCAGGCCTCTGAGGAATTTAAATACGTTTTTTGAGGTTTTGTCCATCTATCATGGTTCTCTTTTGTTTTTGAAATTCCTCAGTTGCCAGCCATTGTGTCTCAGTTGTGACAATCCTGAACCCTATTCTCTAATAGCTCCAGCAGAGAGGTGGCTGGATAGAAACTGGAATGGCTGGGACTCAAAACTGAGGTGCTCTGATATGGGATGCCAGTGTCTGAAGCAGCAGCTTAAACAGCTGTGCCACAATTCTGGCCCCTTGTTTTTTGTTTGTTTGTTTGTTTGTTTTTTGACAGGCAAAGTGGACAGTGAGAGAGACAGAGAGAAAGGTCTTCCTTTTTGCCGTTGGTTCACCCTCCAATGGCCGCCGCGGCCGATGTGCTGCGCACCGCGCTGATCCGATGGCAGGAGCCAGGTACTTATCCTGGTCTCCCATGGAGTGCAGGGCCCAAGTACTTGGGCCGTCCTCCACTGCACTCCCTGGCCATAGCAGAGTGCTGGCCTGGAAGAGGGGCAACCGGGACAGAATCCGGCGCCCCGACCGGGACTAGAACCCGGTGTGCCGGCGCCCCAAGGCAGAGGATTAGCCTAGTGAGCCGTGGCGCTGGTGCCCCTTGTTTTTATGTACCAAATCTCTTTGTGAAGAATTATAGTTGACCAAAAAGTCAAATTTTTAAAAAATATATATCTATGTTGATATAACCACAAATGAGTAAATAAACAAATGAGACAAATCCCAACTCTTCCTTACATAAGAATTCCAGTTAATAAATGTGATAGAGGGACTAGCCTTGTGGCATAGCAGGTTAAGCCTCTACTTTGGCACTGGCATCCCATATGCATACTGGTTTGAGTACTGGCTGATCCACTTTCTCTTTTTTTTTTTTTTTTTTTTTTAGATTTATTTGTTTATTTGAAAGTCAGAGTTACACAGAGAGAGGAGAGGCAGAGAGAGAGAGAGAAAGGTCTTTCATCGTGGGTTCACTCCCTGGTTGGCCGCAGTGGCCGGAGCTGTGCCAATCTGGAGCCAGGAGCTTCCCACGTGGGTGCAGGGACTCAAGGACTTGGGCCATCTTCCACTCTTTTCCCAGGCCATAGCAAAGAGCTGGATCAGAAGTGGAGTAGCCGGGACTCGAACCAGCACCCATGTGGGATGCTGGCACTGGAGGCAGCAACCTTACCTGCTAAACCACAGTGCCGGCTCTGGCTGATCCACTTTCAGTCCAGCTCCTTGCTAATGCACCTGGGAAAGCATCAGAAGATGATCCCAGTACCTGGGCCCCTGTACCAACATGGGAGGACCAGGGAGACACTCTGGCTCCTGGCTTTGGCCCTGCAGCCATTTGGGGAGTGAACCAGCGGTTGGAAGACAGTTTCTCTCTCCCCTATCTCCACCATCTCCCCTTCTCACTCTGTAACTGCCTTTCAAATAAGAAAATAAAGATGGAAAGAGAGAAGTAAAAAATCCACCAAAAACAGCCTGAAGTTGAGGTAGAAACAGAATATTTGCATACCTTCAAAGTATTTCCCCTGATATATTTAGTCATTCCTAAGGGAAAAATAGTAAGTTTACAGTACAGATCTTAGAAGGCATTATAGTGATGACATGATCAAGACTCAAGATTAACATCGTAGGGGAGGAGTTGTGGCACCACTTGGGACACCTAAGTCCCATGTCAGAGTACCTGGTTTGAAATCCAGCTTCTCACTTCCAGTTCAGCTTCCTGCTAATGCATACCATGGAAAGCAGTCGTTGATAGCCCAAATACTTGGGTGCCTGTCACCCACAAAAGAGACCCAAATTCAGTTCCAAGCTTCTGTTGTTGGCCTGGTCCAGCAATAGCTGTTGCAGTTATCTGGGAAGTGAACCAGTGGATGGAAGTTTTCTCTATAGTTCTGCCTTTCCTATAAATAAATAAATAAATAAATAAATAAACAAACAAACCTTTACTAACATTTTTTTTTAAAAAATCTCACAGAAACACTAATGTATGGCCTGATTTGAACCATTGAGAAGGGTATATCGGCTCTGTAGTTTCATACCCAGTGATCACGAGAAAACATCAAGCCAACCCAAACTGAGTGATTACCTACTCAGTGCTCTTCAGAAGTGTTGGAGTCATGAAAAACAAGGAATGACCGAGGTGCTGGTGCTGTGATGTAGGATGCTGGTTTGGCAAGCAGCAGCTTAACCTGGTACACCACGACATTGGCCCCATATCTTTGTTATTGTAAATCCAAACTTACCTTAAAAATTAGGGCTGGACTTTTGACCTAGCAGTAAAATTGCTGGTTAGAACAACTGCATCCCATATTGGAGAGCCTGGGTTTGAGTCCATGCTCTGTTCCTGATTCCAGTTCTTGCTAATACAGACCGTGGTAGGCAGGACTCTGGGAGACCTGGATTCAGTTCCTGGCTTTGGCTGGTCCAGCCCTGGCTGTTGGTGGCATTTGGGGAGTCAGCTAGAAGATGAGAGCACAAACATGTCTCTGTTTGCTTCTCAAATTAATAACAAGTAAAGAAAAAATTTAAGTGGAATCTTAAAATTTTTAAAAATTGATTCTTATTATGTTATCATAAGGTTTATCTCTTTAATTCCTACATAAGCATTCATACACTCTAGTGGTTCTCAAAGAATATTCCCGGGCCTGTGCTGTTGCATAATGAGTAAAGCTGCTACCTGCAGTGCCAGCATCCCATATGGTTGCCAGTCAAGTCCCAGCTGCTCCACTTCTGATCCAGCTCTCTGCTGTGGCCTGGGAAAGCAGTAGAAGATGGCCCAAGTCCTTGGGCCCCTGCGCCCCAATGGGATACCAGGAATAAGCTCCTATCTCCTGGCTTCGAATTGGTGCAGCTTCGGCCATTGCGGCCACCTCGGGAGTGAACCAGTCAATGAAGACCTCTCTCTCTCTCTCATTCTCTCTCTCTTTCTCTTTGTCTCTGCCTCTCTATAACACTGCCTTTGAAATAAATAAATATCTTTTAAAAAGAAGAATATTATTCCCCAGACCAATAGCATTTATATTTACTGGGGAGGTATTCAAAATAAAATTCAAAATAAAATATTCTCAGACTCTCTGGGCATGAGACCTAGCAACTTGTATTTTTAAATTTTTTTTCGAAGATTCATTTTATTTATTTGAAAGGCAGAGATAGAGAGCTTCCATCCGCTGGTTTGCTCCCCACTTGGACACTTGGCCGCAACGGCTGGAGTTGCGCTGATCCAAAGTCAGGAACCAGGAGCTTCCTCCGGGTTTCCCATGTGGGTGCAGGAACCCAAGGACTTGGGCTATCTTTTACAGCTTCCCCAGGCCATAGCAGAGAGCTGGATTGGAAGTGGAGCAGCCGGAACTCACACTGGCGCCCATATGGGATGCTGGCACTGTAGGCGGCAGCTTTACCTGCTATGCCAGAGCGCCGGCCCCCTTTTTTTCTTAAAACAACAACAACAACAAAAAATCAAAGCTTAATGTAGAGCTTTCATCAGAATTCTTTTTTTTAGATTTATTTTATTTATTTGAAAGATTGGGGGGGGGGTATATTCCATCTGCTATTTTACTAGTTTACTCCTTAAATGGCCACAACTGCCAGGACTGGGCCAGGCTGAAGCCAGGAGCTTCTTCTGGGTGTCCCATGTGTGTGCAGGGGCCCAAGCACTTAGGCCATCCTCTGCTGTTTTCCCAGACACATTATCAGGGAGCTGGATCGGAAGTAGAGCAGCCAGGACTCAACCAGTGCCCGTATAGGATGTTGGTGCCTCAGGTGATGGCTTAACCTTCTGTACTGCAGTGCCAGTCCTTCAAAATTACTTTAAAAGATGTCACCGTTGGTTTTAGATTCATTTTTTTAGATAATTAAAAAATTTCTTATTGTTCTGAGAAACATTCTCTCCCTGTGTTCAGGTCTTACTGGTTTTGAAGAATTAAATGGAAAAATAACAAAAGTAAACCTTCTGTCAAAACAGTAATTATTGTTTTAAACATAATTATATTCTTTAAACTTACCATTATTAGTAGGTGTTGGTGCAGTGTGGAGCCTCCTACGTCCATGTCAAATTGCCTGGGTTTGAGGCCCAGCTCTGCTTCTTTTTATTTTATTTTTTAAGATTTTATTTATTTATTTGAGAGGTAGAGTTACAGACAATGAGAGGGAGAGACAGAGAGAAAGGTCTTCCGTCATTGGTTCACTCCCCAAATGGCCACAATGGCCAGAGCTGTGCCAATCCGAAGCCAGGAGCCAGAACCTTCTTCCGGGTCGCCCACAGGGGTGCAGGGGCCCAAAGACTTGGCCCATCTTCTACTGATTTCCCAGGCCATAGCAGAGAGCTGGATGGGAAGAGGAGCAGCCGGAACTGGAACCGGTGCCCATATGGGATGCCAGTGCCACAGGCGGAGGATTAACTTGCGCCACAGCGCTGGTCCCCAGCTCTGCTTCTGATTCCCACTTCCTGCTCATGCACAACCTGGGAGTCAATTGCTCACGTTTTTGAGTCCCTGTCACCGACATGAAGACCGTGATTGAATTCCAGTCTTGCCCAGCTGTTGTGGGCATTTGGGGAGTAAGCCAGCAGATGGAAGCTGTCTCTGTCTGTCTCTTTCTTTTTGCCTTTCTGTCTTTCAAATAAAATGAAAACCAACAAACCAAAAAGATGGCTTTAAAGAATAAAGTAATAAATTTGCCTTTAAAATACGCTACGTACCAACACTGCACTTTCCATGTATGCAACAAAGCCAGTGCTCCTCATCTACTTATACCTGGGCGTATCACTGGATTTTGTGGGCTCTCTCCTTGCTCCCTGTTCCCCAGTTCCTATAAATCTGGAAATTACAGATAGAATCTATTTGTGTGTTGATTTGAAAACTGTATATAGCAGTATTTCAATATCTAACAAACCTATTTCAAAAAAATTCTCTTACAGACTTACAATAGTTGTGCCAGACTCTGCTTAAACCAAGAAACAGTATGTCTAGCAAGCACGGCTATGAAGACTGAAAATTGTGTGGCCAAGGTAAGCAGTATTGCTCATTGATATATATTATACCACATCATCACAATGCTATGTTGTAGGCATCTTTTCTCAGTTCCATTAAAGACTATTTATATTTAAGAAAAGAGTACAAGCAGGCACTGTTTTATCCTGAGCAGATTGCAAGTTGGATTCCCCATTTGGTCAGGTGCAGCAGAATCTTTTGATTATATATCTGCTCACATTTGAGACTGATTCAAAATGTTGTCTGGCATTAGTTATAGGATATCACAGATCAGTAAGATTTGTATGAGATAATACACAATTATTTTTATAAATTTCCCAGTTTTTAAAGTGATTCAGTATAAAGTACATCCTTGCAAGAATTGTGATATATGTTTTAGAAAACCCAATTGTTCTATCATTTTTGTTGATTGAGTGAGTGCCTTTCAGTGATCTTGATCCAAGTGGACAGGTTTGTGTAGTCATGCGTATGAGTTACCTCTTTCACGTGTAAATGTGTGCCCTGTCTGTAGCCTGGAAACAAAAGCAACCTTAAGTATGAGAGATCTAAGGTTTTTCATTGCCAGTCTTGACAACAGTAATTTACTTCCTGTAGTTCTGGATAATGGGAGGGCCAAGATTAAGATACTTGGCAGGTTTCCAAGTACTTAATTTGGAATTTTGAATTCAAGTTTCAGCTGTTTTGATTACTCCAGGAGTAAGTAAAATTCAATGTGGGCTCTGTTTCTAGAATTTTACTTATCTTCAAAAATATTGCCATTACAACCATTCAGGTATTTATCCCTGTGACAACATTCCAAGCTTTGACTATTCGAAAGTAATCTATTGGGCCGGCGCCATGGCTTAGCAGGTAAGGCTGCCGCCTGCAGTGCTGGCATCTCATATGGGTGCCGGTTCAAGTCCCGTCTGCTCCACTTCCGATCCAGCTCTCTGCTGTGGCCTGGGAAAGCAGTAGAAGATGGTCCAAGTCCTTGGGCCCCTGCCACCTGCATGGGAGACCCGGAGGAGGCTCCAGGCTCCTGGTTTCGGATCGGCACGGCTCTAGCCATTGCAGTTGCAGTCAATTGGGGAGTGAACCAATGGATGGAGGACACCTCTCTCTCTTTGTCTCTCTCTGTAATTCTGACTCTCAAGTAAAAATAAATAAATAAATCTTTAAAAAAAAAAAAAAAAGAGTAATCTATTGTATTACCCATCCAGGCCTACAGTTGCTTTACTGTCACATTAGAGCCAGAGCTGCTGTCATGTAGTCTCTCTCCTTTGCTATAAAAATCCAAGGATAGTTTTTCTTAGTCCATTTGGGCTGCTATAACAAGAATACCATAAACTGAATGGCTTATAAACACAATAATTTACTTCCTGTAGTTCTGGATAATGGGAGGTCCAAGAATAAGATGCTAGCAGATTTGTAGTCTGGTCCTTGCCTTACTTCATAGATGGTACCTCTTGTTACATCTTCACATGGTGGAAGAAATCAGCTAGCTCTCTGGGATTTTTTTTAAAGGTACTGACTCCATTTTTGAGGGCTCTGCTTTTATGAATTTTGGGAGAATGTAAACATTCAGACACTAGCAACAACAATATTTTACCTTTTTTTTTTTTTTTAAGATTTATTTAATTTACTTGAAAGGCAGAGTTACAGAGAGGAAGAGGCAGAGAGAGAGAGATCTCTATCCACTGGTCCACTCCCCAAATGGCCACAATGGCCGAAGCTGTGCCGATCTGAAGCCAGGAGCTTCTTCCAGGTCTCCCAAGTGGGTGCAGGGGCCCACGGACTTGGGCCATCTTCTACTTCTTTCCTAGGCCATAGAAGAGAGCTGGATTGGAAGTGAGCCAGCCTGGATTCGAACCTATGCCCATATGGGATGCCAGTGCTATAGTCTGGAACTTTAACCTGCTGCGCCACAGCACCAGTCCCTATTTTACCTCTTAAAACATGCATTAGTCTCTGGGCCTACTTAGCAACTGAAAGTATATCATACAAAATAAAGCTATTGGAGTCGTATGAATGTCAAAATTTATTAATAGTTATAGTTTGATCGCTTCTCGGCCTTTTGGCTAAGATCAAGTGTAATAGTTATAATTTGAGAGGTAAAGTGCATTAGTTAAATTCAAATGTCAATAATTTGCTACAATATGATATAAATTATATATGTTTAAGTTGTCAGTCACGATTAGCAAGTGCTGATTGACCCTATCTTCTATTTTGCATTTGTACGTGGAGGCAGCAGTACTGTTACTTTGGCCTTTCTCCTTTATTGGCCACACTGCTTTCAAGTGCATTACAAGTGGATGACTTCTGGCTAAACAATGCAAAAATCTTAGCATGAACACCAGTCCAAGGACAGGGTGACAATTTTAATGAGTTTCATTGAGAGCTGGCCAAGTGAGCATCTGTTCCTTTTGTTTCCCCGATCTCTGTCAGCCAGGATCTCCACGATGCATAGTTGCTGTGAATCTGTATGTTGTGGAGTTGGTTGGTTTGTTCTCCTACCCTTTACTTCCGCAGTGATAGTTAGAAATCTTCTGGCATCTGGCACAATGGCATAATTTCTTCATGCTCTTGGGTGAGAAAATAAGTTTGCTCATTGCTGCTCATCTGTATGTTTCACTTCTCCCATATGGTGACCCTCTCATCCCGTTCTTGCTTATTTTAACATTATTCTGACACCTAAATCCTTTCATTGTCCCCTTAAATACTCTAATGATTTATATCACTTTCTGTTGGAACTCAGCTAACATCTTGGTTGCCTTTTATTGGCCTATACTCTGTCTGTGGTTCATTGCTTCAGATCTGAGCCTGATAATAAGTTGATCAATGGCAAAAACATGTTGCAGAGAAAAAATTTCTTTATTGTAACAGCCTCCAGTGAGGTAACAATAAACAGGAATAGTGACAAGAGTTCCTTTTTTTTTTTTTTTTTTTTAAGATTTATTTATCTGAAAGAGTTACACAGAACGAGAAGTAGAGGCAGAAAGAGAGAAAGGTCTTTCATCCACTGGTTCACTCCCCAGTTGGCCACAATGGCCAGAGCTGCACTGATCTGAAGCCAGGAGCCTCTTCTGGGTCTCCCATGCAGGAGCAGGGACCCAAAGACTTGGGCTATCTTCTACTACTTCCCCAGGCCATAGCTGAGAGTTGGATTGGAAGTGGAGCAGCTGGGACTCGAACCAGCCCCCATATGGGATGCTGGCACTACAGGCGGCTGCCTTACCTGCTGAGCCACAGTGCCGGCCCCAAGAGTTCCTTTCTTTATTTACATGTGTTGTGTGTGTCTCATGATTCCATACTGTTTCTCTTGGCCTCATTTATAGCTTGACCTTTGAAAGAAATGGCTTTCCATTATTTTTGTAGGTGTGCACGTGTATCCTTATTTTCTGTTCTTCACCTTTAGCCCTTAACTGAATGGATTCCATCTGCTGCATTGATATGACCAAAGTGGGTTTTTTTTTTTTTTAATTTAACTTGATACAAGTGTTTGTTGTTGATCCAGATTGTGCTCCAATGTGACTTGAATGTCCAACCATCTGCATGCGAGAGAGACGTATTAGTGATCAGCAGTTTATCTTGTTCAAGCACTGATCTGAAAAGAGCGACTTGTGTGGGTAAGATACTAGAGTTTATACTGATACTGTGTGTGAGTTCTAGAGAAGATGTCAATACCAATTATTTTCTTAAAAGCAACAATATTGTTAGGTTCAGACCCCTTTATTGCTTTGTTTAGGACTTCCTTGCCAAAAGTTCCTATTATAGAAAGAGTATCCACTAGGCCTCTCTGGAATACAAAAAAAAAAAAAAAAAAAAAAAACAAAGCTGTAAGACAAACAGCCACTCTAGATTGACAATAATCTTCTGACTCTTTACCTTGAAAAAAGAAGCCTAAGAGAAAATCTAAAAATAAAAAATGAGGGGTGTGTGTGGGTGGTTCATTTTATCAGTATAACTTAATCCAAATAGCATTTGGAGTCATTGAAATGTCTTAGTTTTTCAAACACCTCTCTTCTAATTATAGCTCTTTAGTTCATAAGATTTGTTTTTGGAACAGGGTGAGCTCTGTATTTATTGTAGCTTTAAATGGACTGTCATTATTGACTGTCAACATTGTCTTTAAAATCTATAATCATGTTGTGCCTAATTGTCATCCTTTGCGATGTTTTTCAATTGTAGAGAAAACTAATGTTAAAAACTGAAGAGCATTAATGTTTTATTATTATCTTTTTATTAACTGCATTAAAATCTTTTGAGATTTTCTGTTTTAGACATTTCCCTAATTTGCCCTTATACACACACCCACACACATGTATAAACACGTACAGTTAAAATTGAGTTTGTGAGTACGTTTATCTATATTTATGGCCCAGATAGAAGTGCTGCCTCTTTATGTTTAGAAAATAAACCCCTTCAGTATAGCCTTTCATAGATGCTCTGTATCTTTGTTGTTGCTTTATTTATTTTTTTTTTACTTGAGACTAATAATCTGTTTGAAACTGTGAGACAGAAAAATGTGATGTTCCTTTCCACTCACTCCAGATTTTGATAGAAGACTTGTTTTATTTATTTCCAAAATTATATCCGCAGGAAACAAGCTGTTTAAATTCAGATTATGCTGAAGCAAAATGGTCCTGGTATGAGAAGCAACGTGCTGTTTTACGAGCACAGAGTCCCTTTTCTCATAACTGATTGATAGTAAATATTTTCCTGAAGAATTATTGCCAACCATGAACAGTGCAACTGTTTCACTTTTTTTCCATGCTACTTGCTGTACCAGCCATTGTCGGTAATTAAGATCTACAATTCACAATGCAGACGTTTGCACTTCCTCTGGGTCTGCGCTATTTATAAGGCATTTCAGCTGTTCAGAGTTTCTTTTGAGTTCTAAACTACATGTTAACAGGCTTCTTTAATATACTGTTCCACAAGTAGCATGTCAGATGGTCCATTCTTCACATAGGCGCCTGTCAGGTCTAAATGTTAGCTCTGTGGAGAACGTACTCAGATTTAACCATATCATTGAGGCCAATGGTTGGAGACACTCTGGAGTATAACATGCTACACAGTAGTTTCTGCTGTTTCAAAAAGCAGAAATGAAGCTCAGAAAATTGTCATTTGAATGTAATATGTTAATTGCGTTCCAGAGGTTCTAAGAAATACACAGTAAAGTGAGTTTTCCAAGATCACTTTGAATTCATGAGAGAAGCAAGGACCTTTCTTTTGGACAATACTGCATATGTTTGTACAATAAAAGATAAAAAAATACATTTCGTTCCAGATGTGCATAATGCTGAGAATCTAGACAAGGAGTCAGCACTGGGGCACAGCTGGGTGGGCCAGATATCGGACACCAAAAGGCATCAGTACACTGATTGCACATTTGTTGTATAACCAGCCTCAGGAACCCTCGGAGCATATGGCATTGATGAAGAAAATGTAAAGAGAAATCTGGATCTGTGTTACAACTGGTAAAATTCAAACTATTTTCAACCCAAGAGAAAAGTCCAGACCCCAGCCTCAAGTCCTCACGGACTATGTTCTAGGATCACAGTAACTGCTTGCATGGTCTCTTTGCTACCGGCACTCATTGTTCAACATATGAGAAAAAAAGCAAGAAGCTGAAAGCTGTCAACAAAGTGTGTTTAAAACTTTGCCCGGAGAGGGGATCAGATGGGTGGTTTTGAAGCCCGAAGTCTAGCACATTGATTGCGCGCATTGGCCGCCAGCTTCTCCAGCAGAGCGATCTGCGCAGAAAGGACACCAGTTTCAGTGCTGGTGCTCGATGGCCCTTGAATACACACAGAGCTTGTAAAAAAGCCATCGCAAGGCAGTTTTATTTGCCAAAACCTAAAAGTTTCTGTAGTTCCAAAGAAATACAAACTTTTCTTCCTCAGCGAACTCTTTATGAACCTGTTTTTTTCTTGTAGCAGCAGTGGTTCAGCTGTTGGGAACCGCTGATCTGTCTGGCTGAGACGCTTCAAGATGCTAGAACCTCTTCATGTTTCTGCCAAGCTGGGGAGCTAATAAGATCAGGTTTGGCTTTGTGAATTGATCTAGATCAGCATGAGATGAGCCCAGTCAGTGTCTTCCTCAGTGAAAAAGGAAAGGTTGGGAGAAAGAGAGGTGAAAGGAGAAAGTTCTTCATCAAGAATTGACTGCAGTGTTGCCTGCTGATGCATGTCGGATCACCCGCTCGGAGAGATCACATGGCTTCTCCAAAAGTCAAACGATTAATTCGCCTCGTTTTGGCTCTGTACTTAATGCACAAACAGTGCGATCTGCGGGGCTGTAATTGCATTGTTAGGGCCAAGGAACAAGCCTGTGCCTTTTCAGCAGACAGCTGGCAGGGAGAGAGGCATGTTGTTAGGAAAGAGAGAGGCAAGGCAAATAAAATTACTGCTAACGCTCAGAGATCGGCAGGAGTCCTACTTGCCTAATCTTACCGGTGGGAGCAAGCGGCTGTTGTAATCCAATTATAGCAGCATAAGCAATTTGTTAGACACTCCGCATAATGTAACAATTTCCCAATAAACTCTGACTTGTAATAACGTCGGCAAGAGTCCGCATAAATCTGCCCGAATGGTGGGGGCTGGCGCGTTCGGCTGGGGGCTTGTAATTGGCGCCATCAGCACGTTTTGCGGAGTGCAGTATGGTGCAGTCTTTTAGTGCAGGAATTTTAAGGAGAAAAGCATGGCACACGTTTCTTCGAAAAAGAAAAGTGGCCATTAAAAGGGGAGCAGCAAGAAGGGCATACTCTTGCCTTCACATTACCTAGGAATCTTAGAGTAGAAAGAAAACAGGAGGAAGCCATGTTTCTTTCTAATACTAAAGAGGGGAGATGGAAAGAGTGTGAATCAGTTAAATTCTTGTATTTAAAAGGCATCTGTTTCTATTATATCTGCTTTATCTAGCCCTCTAAATGCTTTTCAGGCAGCAGTTAGCTAACATTTTTACAAAATGTTAATAGCTCGAAGAGCCTAGAGTGCCAATTTTAAATCATTTTTCTTCTGGAGTTCAGCATTTTCTTTACAACATGAAAATACATTTTCTTTGTGCTCAGGACAAATCTTGAGTATCAGACCTTTCTGCCCAGTCCTTCCATCTGCTTTAAGTCTTTACTTACTGAAGGCTTTACAACCCAGCTTGTTTGTTAGCTGGCTTTTCTAGGCTGCTTATTTTCTAATTTTGAAATACATCGTGAATATCAGCGACACTAGGATTAGTAACCAATCTTGTTGAAAA